AGATTCAACTGATCTGCCGATGTTAAACTATATATATATATATATATATATATATATATATATATATATAAAAAAAACAGACCACTTTAAAGTTCCATGTAATAAATCTTTTCACCACAGCGCTTTTAAAGGACTGCGGATCTTCAGACATTACTTCCAAAGGTTGAAACGAAAAATGAAAAGAAATTTACACATTTTTGACGGGCCGTATTAAGCATATGTAAATTAACGAAGTGAGGAAGTAAGTGGGGAGAGAGAAGACATGAGTGAGTTAGATGTAATTTAATATTTCTATTCTTTCATATTTAAAATTACTTGAGGAGATCCAGACATTGACACATTTAATCGGTTAACTTAACGGAAGTCATATATTGATATAGAAGGGGTAGAGGTGAAAAAAAGACATAAAAAGAAAAAGAGAGAAGGAAGTCATGAGAGAAGGTGTCACTAATTTTCTTTGGAAAGAACAGGCTCGAAAAAGACGCTGTTATTTTGCTTTACTTCAATTTAACTCGTGACTGTTTTTACCCATCAAAAAACAATCACGAGTTAAATTCATGAACAAAATTCAAACGGATGTCAACTTAATAATCAATAATATTTTTTTTAAAAAGATTACTAGAAGTAAACTTATATGTTATAATAAAATTTTATTCTTTTAATGTACTTTATATGAATATTTATTCTAATCAACTATTTCATAGAAAATCCCCAACATTTTAAAAAAAAAATCCAATCACTAACTAATATCAAATTAAATTCTTTGTAGACAGTTCAGACATTCAAATTTATATCAAACATTATAATCTTTTTGAACCTCCAAAATAAAACTTTCAAAGTGTCAAACGTCTCATAGATTGAGTTTGATCTTTCTTTTGTAATTGATCTCTTTAACTCTAAGTTGAAATGGTGATCCCTCTTCTAGGTATGACATTCCGATACAGTTTTCCTCTTTACTTTCCCTACTTTTATAAACTTATTCACCATTCTCTTGATAGTTCTTGAATGGGGTTTGAAGATAGGAAACAGAGTAGGAATTTTGATGCTATTACAGAAGTTCTTAATGATCTTTTTCCTCTCTCCATTGTTCAGTTGAGAAGACAGTGGGGCTGACACAAAACGATTCTAATCTGTTCTTATTTCTAGCTGAATAACTATAGGACCTTTTTCTGTCAATTTTGCGACAAATGGTGTCAAGTTGTCTGGACGTCGTATCTGAACACCTGGAAAAAAGAAGTCAATTATTCTAGTGTTTTTTTAGATTTTAACATATTATGAGATTGAAAATTACGCAGTTACACCCGGTGTGTGTGTGCTTGTATATATATATATATATATATATATATATATATATATATATATATATATATATATATATGTTATTATTATTATTATTATTATTATTATTATTATTAATAGAAATCTTATAAGAAATTATACTCGCACGGTGTCTGGATTTGCAAATAAACAAGCCAATACCAAAGGGAAAAATGTATAAAAAAAGAAAGAACCAAGAACATGTACGTTAACCGAAAATAATCGTCCAGCATGTAAGTCCAAGGCCGAAAGAAAAAAAAAACCCGATGCGAGTACCCAAAATAACTAAATAAAGTGCTCAATACAATGAGTAGAGCAAACCTAGTTAAACCTAGAAAGCCAGAAAAACCTACCAAGGTTTCACCTAAGCGGGTCGTCAGGGAAGGCTGGCTCTCTAGGTTTAAGTATATATATATATATATATATATATATATATATATATATATATATATAATTGCTCTAGCCGTTACCATAGTAATTTTAATTTTAATAATGAATATACTTATAAAACGCGTAAATTTCAGGAATTAGTTATTCCCAAAAACTTTTCGCTTGAAGATGGAACAGATCTTGGTTCTTTAATTCAATTTAATTCAAATAATTATATTGAAGTTTTCGGCTCTTGTTTTGAAACATGAGAACTCTTATGTAGCGTTGGAATCATATTTTTTAAAATAAATAATTATATTTATGCTCTACTGTTGTATCGAGCACTATTTTTAAAAAATAATAACTAAAATACTCAGGAACTTTGGATTATTTACCTAACGAGTTACTCCCTATTTTCTATATATTTTTACACACACACACACACACACACACACACACACACACACACACACACACACACACACACATATATATATATATGTGTGTGTGTGTACAGTCTCGCTATAATACATGTTTTCTTTTTAAATAACTGACTACTTTTGCTAATTGTTTATTGTATTTTCTTTTATGCGAACATATGATTGTCCTTTTAAAATAACAGCTTAGAAATATACCACGATGCGCAACATAACTGTCGCTAAAACAGATGTAAACCAAACCTCCGACTACCAAAATCGTTTTAAAATAATATATGCCAATATCATAAAAATCTTTACCATTTTTAACTATCAACGTTGTCAATATGTACTGGCTGTATTCGAAAACTAAGAATATGTCTACCGTTCATTATATTTAGATTTTCTTTGCAGTAGTACTTACAAATCTTTTACAATAGCACAACTAGAAATCTTGAAAATGGCTCATAGATTAGCTGAATGCCCTTAGTACATACAGTCATTTGTACAATTTTCCTATTCTTCTTCTCCGATCTGTGGCCTTTCAAGATGCAATTGATCATACCAATCCATAACCGCTATTCCTTGTAGCTTTAACAACGTTTCTCTCTTTGCCTGCCATGCCGACAACAATTCACCCAATATTTTCTGAAATCTCGTTTTCGAATTGAAGGAAAATACAATGAAAATCATAACAGAAGTAACTTTCATGTCATTTTAATGAGACGACTCAGTCTAGAATGTAGGGACATCACTATTGGTGTATCTTCCTATATCTAAAGGAAACATTAATATAAATAGAACATTCATAAAAATGACCATATGGTGTACTGTGAGATAACTGCTTGCATGGGAATGAAATGGTTACCCCAAAAGAGGAACAGTGAGGCAAATAAGAGATTCCTTGTAAAAAGAGATGATTCTAAGAGGATTATATAATCTAGTAAGATTTATTAGTGGAAGACCTAACCTTAGCAACATATGATATGAGGAACCCACTGTATGGGGATGACACATTCAGAAGAAAAACAGAAAGAACTAATGAGAAGAGTGAGCTGATAAAAAACAGAAGAAAAAACTATCAATTAATTGTACCAGAGAAAGGATTAGTTATTCTCAAAAGGAACAGTCAAATATATATATATATATATATATATATATATGTTTGTCTGACGATCGCTAAAGCGTGAAACCCAGGGTCACAAACTCACATCTATCCAACCAAATATGTTGGCTCTATCTCTGATATTGAGCGCTTTCTAATAAGTACCGCGCATATAATATATAAATAATTATACATACATATATTTATTTATATTTATATACACTTTTCACATATATATATATATATATATATATATATATATATATATATATATATATATATATATATATATACAAAGAAATAATCACATAGAATCAATCAGTAATATTAATGGTATTATTAGCGACATCCATCGCTAGTAGTGTATAATGTATGCATTAAAATACTGTTAATCCATAAAGTAACGTGATCCTCATCTATAAAACTGTTGTAAGTTGTTTCCAGTTTATATTTTTTTTAAATAATATAAACTGGAAACAACTACTAACGATGGATGTCGTCAATAATACCATTAATATTACTGATTGATTCTATCGACGATTATTTCTTTGTATATAAATTATATGCTGCCTAATATTTTTATATATATATATATATATATATATATATATATATATATATATATATATATATATATATATATCAGGAACTGTAAAAAGTAAGTTAGTTTGATGAATAACTAATATGATAAATTGGTGATACCGAAATCTTGCCTCTAGAACAATTTAAATATCTAAGAAGGGTTTTAACAGAGGACGGGAAGTGAGTCAATGAAATTAGAAGTCGCATTGAGATAGCCAAAGATACCTTCTAAAATGTAAACAAAACATTAAGAAACAGAACAAAAATCGTTACAAATCGAAAAAAAGTGTACTGAACTGTTATATAATATCAGACCTCCTATATGGCAGTGAATGTAGGAAAATCTCCTCACGGGTGAAGAAGAGACTTGAAGCAACAGAAATGTGGTTCTACAGGAGGATGCTGAGAATATCACTGTTATGGGGACCTACCTTGATGGACAAAATAGACTCTTATGACTATATTATGCCTCGCAAGAGGGCTGTAGATAGAAAACGAGTTGACTACACTACTTAGCCATCAGACGGACGTGCAACACTTCTGTATTCGTTCTTTTTGTTAATAATACGTTTTCACTGAATTGCTGAGTTCGAGTTTTCTTTCGGATCTCTTCCGGGTCCACAACAATCACAGACCCAGTATGTGAGCAACGAAGAAGTTCGAAAGACAATGAAAACAAAAAGAACACTTATAGTTAACATCGGAAGAGTCAGTTTAAATTTCTAGGGTGCATAATGAAAAAAGAGGGCTTGGAAAATTTGATACTCACAGGTCAGATCGAAGGCAAAAGAGACAGAGGTAAATAATGTATAAACTACATGGAGAGCTTGAATGAATGGATGAAAGACCAAGGTGTGGGAGATATGGCAAAAGGACAACATTTATTGTGAGCTACAAAGGACTGGAAGTTTATAAGCGAGATAATGAATAGATGAACAGACACTGGAAAGAGAAGTCGTAAATGAATTTGAATTTTATAAAAACAGAACACTGTGGAGAACGATGGCCGGCAATGTATGCAGAGAGAAATAATGATGAAAATAATTAACGCCACAATTTTTAGATATATGTGTCATTGTTTCTGAACAATTAATAACACCAAGTTAACAGTGTGCAGATTCAAATTTTAGGAAAAAAGGAAAGAGCGAATAAGTGAGTAAAGAAAGAAAAAAGTATCAATAAATCCAAGCATAATTCATGTTATTACGAAA